TAGTAGTAATAGTAGTAATAGTAATAGTAATAGTAATAGTAATAGTAATAGTAATAGTAATAGTAATAGTAATAGTAATAGTAATAGTAATAGTAATCAAAGTTTAATGTCTTTACGTGGGGCATGGTTACCCATATTGCCCGAGCCAGAGGCTCATGTATGAAACGCAAGACAACAACCCACCCATCCCACCCCAGGGGAGGACATCCATCACACAGTAATCTCGTGCGTGGGAAATTAACGTCTCCTACCCCTAACCCTGCAGGAGACGGGACCTCCATTTATTCGTCCCTATCCGAGAAGACTAGAATATCTAACCATTTCTTGATGTTATAGAAAGGCAGCATATTCTTCTCAATTATTTTAAGACCCTGAGTGTTGGTCCGGCCGGGGCGCGAACCCTCGACCTCCCGCACAACAGTCCAGCGCTGTGTTCACGAAGAAAAATAATCCTTGAAAGTAACTAATTAAAAAGTTTATTTGCGGATGACGTGACTATTAACTCTGTTGAGTTTATGGAATGGGGCCTACGAAGACTAGCAGACATTCTAAGAGAGTATGACTAGCAAGCACTTGATCTTTTAAGCTGTATGACATTAGACGTTGAAAACTGTTACGCCACTGTCCATTCCAAGAAAGTGAACTTGTCTAAGCTTGAGTATGCTCGGTCATTTGGTGCAACTATGAGGAACAGCGTGAAACGTGCGGCAAGCTGGGCTACATATTATCACACCAGTCGAGTGGTGTGATAATAAGTCCTGGTACCCAAAGCCCGACACAAATTAAAGCCGTCTCTTGATAGTGTACCGTTGATGATTCCTCAACCCGCAGTCAACCTTCCTTCAAATGACTGCGACATCTTACGAAACTGGGCCTCAGCATATGGTGCAGCAGTAAGACAAAGGACAGTGCGGCAAGAAACAACAGTGGCGAAGCACGGAACATTGCCAGAGTTTCTTTATCAAGGCGGCACCTCGAAGGTGGTGACAAGGTGGATTTGAACTTCGGAGTTAAAGAAGATGAAGATCTGAACGCGCATGAAGTGAGTGAAGAAGCTAGTGTATCTGATGAAGGCCAGAAAGAATTTGACTAAAACAGCGATGAAGAAGTTGACGTCAGTACTGATGACGTCAGTACTGATGACGTCAGTACTGATGATGTCGTGATGACGTCAGTACTGATGAAAATTTGCAGATGTTGCTAGTTCACCTTGCTGGTCTCTGGACCAGCAAGGTGAACTTGCAACATCTGCAAATTTTCTTTTGGGTGCAAGGTCGCGATCAGTGGAAGGGCGGTGAGGTTCAATAATCGACTGCTGGTTTAAAAAGTAAGTAAACGTCACAACAAGTTCTTGCCGGCGTCTAAAAAAAGGGACAAATTGTTCCGCCGAGCTTCGACGGTGCAATCGGAGCTTAGACCAGGTTACAGGCCACGCGTGACTGATTGATTCAACATTCCAATAGAATCTCCAAACTTTCAGGTCTTAGTTCTGAAATGGAAATGTTACATTAGGGATTTTCGATGGAATTTTGCAGAGCTATAACTTTTTGCGACTGCAAAATTGCAATCCAATAGACTTTTGTGCGACTTTCCCTAATCAGTTAACTGGGGTCCATTACCTCTTCGAGAGAGCAACTGAAATAAAGCCTATAAAGATACTAAAAGATAAGAATGCTAAGTCCATGGCATTCACAAAATACTGTAATGAAACTAGCGTAGTTTACTCTGTATGTTCCACTTATCACCACTGTATCGGATCGATCAGGGTTTTAATAACTGGGGTGTTTTGCTGCGGTTTCGGTTTTGATCGATTTTTGTTTCGGTTTTGGATGATTTTGTCTACGGTTTTTCGGTTTCTAATAAGCCCCAATGCCACCCCTCCGCCTCCCCCCACTCCTTAAGGAAACGGTCAACAGTTTGTTATTTAATTCTTGATGTTTTAATTATTGGCTCCTTGCGGAACCAATGTATTGGTCTCCTGCATAGTCTTATGGGTTAGAGCACACAAACATCAAAGCAAACGCATAAATGATATGGAGTACAAGGGACTGCGTCGAGACAGGACACACCCAGTGTAGTTTTTGTCTCGTCCTCATCCCTTCTCGTGCCAATATTTTCACGTCGCAAAGTTCGCCCGAGCTTGAGAGAGAAGCAGCCTTATGGCAGTCTCGTGGGAACTAGTTTCAGCTGTTTACGTAATTAGGGAGACAATTCTAAGGAAGTGAGGATGTCGAGGTGGAAACCGTTGGCAGAAGAGATGGAGGTGAAATGTGCAATGATGACTGGCATATTGAAAACATTAAAGGATATTTTGCAACATTTCATTTCCCCAAGCACTTTACTTGCGACTCTTGAACGAAACAACGAAGTTGTTTTCTAATTACCCAAGAAAGCCTCCCGTGGTTAATGATAACATAATGTAAGCGATGAATGGATGCGGCCAGTTCAGTTCGATATGTAATTGCAGCTGACGCAGTCAAGAGCAGTAAAATCATAGCTAATTCATTGGTTAAAAAGACTTCGACACTAAAACTCGCAAGTTTTTCTGATGAAAGAAAACGATCCAGACTGTTACTAACTCAGTCAAGACATATGGTTAGTTACAACGGTTGCATTTATTCAGGATTAACTCTATACTAAGCCATCTTGGATCAATTCTCGTATTAGTTGATGGTCACACAACAAAAACAAAAAGTAAACCAAACAGACGAGTCACACCCTGAAAAGTTATAATTACTTTCTAACTGAAGGTGGATACATCATTCAGATAGAAAACCACTCTTCCGAGTTGAACTGAACTGAATTGGCGAAAGGCAGTAGCAGAAATATCCTATCAATCCAATTAGGTTTTGTTATGTTTATGGAAGCTCTAATAATAATTACCTTGTTCGAAATCAGTATGTTATGGAAACGGTTAGGGTTACACTGGTGTCACGAGAATCATTTCCCTCACATGAATGAAAGTTCTTTGCTCGAAGACAATTACAAACTTTTAAGAAGGTTTAAAGTTATACGTTGGACCAGCATTAGGACCCTCGGCAGGATCACTGTTCTCTTTAATGGGCGTGCTCAGTAACTGCTAAACTATAAACTGTAACAAGCTTGCTTATCGGCCCAGCAATTTAAGCCTGACTGATACTCGATGCAAAACTCAGCCTCGTTCTGGGTTATGTCCACCACATTGCTTTACGCCAATTAAAAAGTGCTACGTAACGCCTCTTTTGCATATTCCTGCACAGGAAAGACCAAACGGAATTACTGAATCTGGCCCTTTACAGCTGGAATAATAATTACGACTTTGTCTCAGACAAAGAGGCGGCAGTAAGCATTATTATAGCCTATGAGCAGGTAGTTCTTTGATCTCGTCACGCAACATCGGAGAGAAAGCGTTGCGTGACGAGTTCAAAGTGGGGCTGTGGAGAGGGCTACAGGAAGCGTGCTACCAATGCAGTTTGTTTTTGCCACCAATTATTCAGACACCAGCATCATTTACTGTGTCCCATTTCAACCCACATATCCAAAAAATAACTCCTGCATGCGTAGCATGCCTGTATTTAGCTTTATGACAATTGTATTGTAAATTTCTGTTTTTGCTTATTTAGACTTAGTAGTAGTAGCTCCACATCAGCTGTACAGTTGCCTATCTCTAAAGCCTACTTATCAAATAAATGTACGTATGCATGTATGTATGTATGCATGTATGTATGTATGCATGTATGTATGTATGCATGTATGTATGTATGCATGTATGTATGTATGCATGTATGTATGTATGCATGTATGTATGTATGCATGTATGTATGTATGCATGTATGTATGTATGCATGTATGTATGTATGCATGTATGTATGTATGCATGTATGTATGTATGCATGTATGTATGTATGCATGTATGTATGTATGCATGTATGTATGTATGCATGTATGTATGTATGCATGTATGTATGTNCGAATAATTTAATTTAATTGATTTGATTTATTACAGACTCCAACAATTTATTACAGATTCCAACAAGTGCTCAGTTGGACCTTTACGCAGACGATACGACTGTCAACGCTTTTGTGGATGTGAAAAACTTAGCCAACTTAAGTTCGTTTTGTAGTCTTTCGGTTTTCCTTATATCGAACCTTCATGTATCCGTTCTATAGTTTTTACCGCCTGTGCTGTACAAAGACTGCCAGCTCAAGTGAATAAAGAGTTTGATGCTGCTGCTTGTCTAAAGTTCAACACTGTGGTTATACTGGCGAACTCCGGTGCACAACACCACGTGTCTGCGGAATCGGGAACGCGACAGTAGTAACTAATTAAAAGTATAATAACAATAATAAAATTACTCAATGCAACTTATCGTGAGATATTAAAATATACAATACATATTATGTGGATTCAAGACCGATATTTAGCAAACAAATGTTTCTTAGCACTACGGCAGAAAACATGTTCTAAAATGTTTCTTGTTGCTATTGGGAGTCCGATTGAGCAACGTTGCCGCCGAGTGCTGGAAAGTTCCTGACTCTCTAGGAGTAAAAAATACGGGTGCTGTTGATGATCTTAAATTATAAGCAGTTACTTCATGGAGAGTCAGTTTCAGATACTCAGGAAAGGTATATTGTGGTACAATGATTTATGAGCGAGTTTGAGAATATCGAATTCAACGTTTTCTTTAACTGGTAACCAGTTTAACCTAATAAAATCCTCGAGACCTGCAAATTTTCTTGTGACAAAGCCAGCACACGCATTCTGTAGACGTTGGAGACGCTTTACGAGATGCAAGGGATGAACTACCGTGTAAGCATAGTTCAGCTCTGAGAGAACTAGGCCTACTGCGAGATGGTTTCTAACGTGCATGGAATGGCGCTAGATTTTTGAGCCTACGCAGAACGGAGAGAGTCCCATATGACGAGCTTAACAGAGGATCCACATGTGTGTTCCATGAGAGATGTTGATCCATGTGAAAAAACCGTAGGTCCCGTTTCCTGCAGGGTTGGGGTAGGGGACGTTAATTTCCCACGCTCGAGATCACTGCGTGGTGGATGTCCTCCCCTGGGGTGGGATGGTTGGGTACTAGGGCCCGCAGCAATTGGCGCAAGCTGTTGCGGGGTCCCTGCCTGTTGGCGAAGCTAATAAAAAAAAATAAATAAATTTGGACTTTTCGGCGTACCAAGGAAGCTCTTCGTACCCCCTTTTTAAAAAAGAGGAAAACAAAATTTCCGCGGGGAATCCCTCCCTCCCCTCAGTTGGGTTTCTTACTCTAACCCAGGACTTCGCAGTAAGCTATACTAAAATGGCGGACGATCGGGAAGGTCCCCTACCTTAGCTTCTTGAACGTATTTCACGACGAGATATCGAAGGCATCGAAATGTCACAAGTAGCACGTTATTCACACAGTGAATATGTTACCAAAGCTTCAAATTTGCATCAGGAAAAATAGTGATAATAGCTTATGGATTTCAAGAATCTTTGAAAAAGCTCGTTGACCTATCGCAAACTGCGATAATCGCAATTTGTGATAGGTCAAATAATTTACTTGGAGGGACTTTCCCTTGCGTCACATTATGTTTAGATATGGAACGCTATTCTACATCATGTGACAACCTTCCCAATGGAAAAACGTGAAAGTCGTTTTACTACAATTCACGTCGGATCAGATCCCCCCCATAAACAGGAAACTACAGTATTGTCGATATTAATTATCGATTTACGATTCTTGCTGGTGAAGCTTTCCTGACTAATAGCTGCTAAACTTTACGATGCAAAGGCAAGAAACTCTCAAAGGTACGTGAAAGATTTTGAATTTCGATGGGGCATTTAGTTACTCCCAAAAATCGCCTGAAGTATATTTTCTGTTTTCACTTTTGTCTGAATGGTTGAAGGTTAAATTTTTCGGTGTTTTTTTTTTTTTGGCGTTGAAACTTCACTACTGATTGTCGCTGTTTAGTGTAGGGTTGGACGTCTAAACAATATTGTTGATCATAATGATAACATTTCATGAATATCAAAGCGATCTTCGCAGTAGCGATAACATTGAACAATGCGATTGCGTACATGCAGATTTAGAACCAACTTCGTTTGAAATGCGCAGAGTTTATAACTAGGTCGTCTGGAGCTGTGTAATACGCTGTCATAAGAAACAGGAGCGTATTATTAAATGATTATATACGGTCACCCCGTTCGATGGTCACGTCGTTCTAAGTCAGTTGAAGTTCCAAGTTTCGGTCAGATCGTACACTGATATTGAGTTAATTAATTGTATAAGTAGGTAGTCATGCTTGTTCCATAGCATTAACTCATCATTAGTTATTGTATAAATGTAGGTAGCTTCAAGGTATTAACATTTGGGGTGCTACTCTATATTCCAAATGTAGTCCCATCTATTACGAAGTCATATCATTTTAATTCCAAAATTACAAACTTTCTTGCCCGAATTCGGGACGTATTTTTACCGTCAACGGTGTTAATTCATTCTTATGCATTATATTGATCGACATTTTTGCAGTAATAAATATCAAGCTTTCTTTTGGACACCCTTAAGTGGAACAAGGTTACTTTATAGTGGAACAAAGTGACAATGGTTTGGGACGAAAATGAAAACAAAACTTGGAATGAACTGACTTGGAATGAAATTCCCATGAAAGTGAAAGTGATAGATGTTATAATTGTATTAGTTTTACAGTCGATGATATGGTTTGTGTGCAGATAATGATTAGGTTAGTTAATTAACAGAATACTCTCTTGGTTACATTTTTTAACACTTTATCAATTATCATGCTATAAAGCTGATGCATTTGCATTGAGTTAAGGTCAAATATCATAGATACCTTTGGTTGAAATTTTAATATTATACCATATTTGCATCACTGAGTGGAACAATTTGTTTCAAATTTTTTCCAAAAATTGACTCTGGTTTGATCTTGGTTTGACAGTTTTCTCAACCTTAAATACAATATGAGTTTAATTTTGTACCTGATTAAATGTAAACTTGTATGTATACAACTATGAATAAGGTTGAAAATAAACCCAATGTTTTTGGAGAGGCAGAATTAATGTCAAGTGTATAAAAGAGCCTCCATTATTGAAAGTTTTTCCAACAATACTGTTCTCCCATTTTCAGGACCTTGGCCTCTTCATTCTTGCTGTTTAGAAATGGCAATGTACAAGCTCGTAATTTTAGAAGCTTGTCGTCATCATTTTGAACATCTTGGTGGTTGCTCTCCTGAAGATTCACTGTGTCTTCTTCCATCTGAAGGAGCACATCTTTTCCCTGGTCCATTTGTTCAAATCCAACTTGCAGTTGCATTGAGAACTGATAATCAGGAACTGGCTCAGTGCCGACTCAAGGCTGATGGAACTGGACAATTCAAAGTGGTATGTACATGTGCAGGACAATAGAAGTAAATTGTTTAGTACCAGGCATGGATCCAGGGGAGGTGAAATGGATAAATTTTCATCCCCCCCGGCCTTTTTGCTGGGCCCCCTTGTTTATTTTTATTTTCTTATCCCCCAAATATTGAAATAATATTTTATTTCTCTTTCTCTGATTGAAGTGGAGAATGTGCATAAGCGATGACTGGTTCTACCAATCAATTTATTCATTTTGAACCCACAAACACACTGTCCAGCATGTAATCCAAAAACGCCTCGTTTCCATGCTTTAGCGACTTTGTGTAGTAATGTATTCATGATTGCATATTTTTCAGGAATCAATGTACACACGGTAAACTCTCATTGTTCTTGACAAAGACTAGCAACAATTCAAATGCAACAAGGCACCAAAAGCTATTTACTATTTCGACAAGAAATTAGTCGTCCTGGTTTAGAAATCCGCAAATGAATTTACAAATCTAACATAATATAATTGGCATTTGCGTTCGCCTAAAATTCGAAAATGTTAATTATTCATCAGAAATCAATCATGCTGATGCACAGATTGACCTCAAGCACCTCAACCAGGCTTTGGTTCTATTACATTATTGCAAAAATTCATCCCCCATTTCAATATCCTGGATCTGTGCCTGAGTACATGTGATAAAGCTCTTAGGTTGGCATTTTAGTGCTTTGAAAATCATGGAATCTATTTGTAATAAGGAGAGGAAGATAGGAGTAAAGGACTTATTTGGATGTAATAGTCTCAGCAGGGTCGTCATTAGAAGCCAGTCGGCAGCTGGAACCCAATGGCTGTTGGACTATATTGCACCTGTCCAGCTACCAAGTGAATTGTGATAAAGACAGAAAATATATTTGAACTGATTCTAGCGTTAATTAATGTAATGTCTAATTTTAAAAAGTCACTCATTTTTCCTAGAATGCTGGAAATCACATCTAAGAAAGTTTCAAATTTTTCTGGAGGAGCATGCCCCCAGACACCCCTAATGCTTGCTAGTGCAAGCAGAAGTCAATTCAGTCACCAACTCAGTTCAGATCATACACCTATTAAATTTTCTTGTGACAATCCTGCCTTTGCCTCGCAAGCAGTGGGAAGTCATTCTCTTGTTGTAAACTAAATATGATCACAAATAGAAGCTGCATGCTGACCAAATGATCCCCAATACTTCATAATTTGTTTTGATAGCTTAATATGTGACTTAGAAAACTGTGAACACATGAATTTGGAATGTGAAAAGCAGTTAAGTGCAATTTAATGGAGTTAACAACAAAGAGCATCAGCATTCTCTAGTAGTCAGCGGTTTTTGCATATGTGCATGCATCAGAATTCCATGTGCGCTGTGTTTAAGGCACTCTTGTGTGTGCTTTGAGCATGTACTTGCAGTATTCCCAGGAAGTTTTTCCTCACCCATTCCCTCCCTTTATCCTATTGTTTATTCAGTTTGACAGGTGCTTGTTTCCCTTTCCTGTGTGGGGGCTCATAACTGGGTTGCTAGGATTTGCCAGCCATGGGAGAAGTCTCCATCTAGGAGCTAGCTGCCAATAGTGGAAGCTCCTGGATGTTTCAGGCACTCAACCTCCACTTAGGGATGCAGTTGTTAATTGTGCACTAACCAATGAATGGCATGCGAGTATTGTGGTTTATTTTCACAAAATTATGTTGCCATTTTGACACCATCATGACAATGTCACCTTTGTTTAAAGTAACCACACCTGACATATGAATAGCTCTCATTAAATTTAGAGAAGAAAGGTCATATTTTTTGTTATAATCAGGTAAGTTGTAAAAAAACTTGCCAGGATCATATGCTTTTTAAAAGTGCAGATTTTAAGCACTGAAGAACAGTTGTCTTGGCTAAAGAGTGACTCTCATCCCACCAAACATGATGCTTGATTCTTAATACATTAGGAAATGTTTATCTATATGAAACATGATAAAGATTGCATTTTCTTCATTATGAGTTTATTGCCAGGTGCTTGTCTGATGAGCTCCTTGTTGTAGTTAAGCCCTTTTGGCTGGGGTTACTACTTAAATGGGTTACAGTGCTGTTGAATTTTTTTTCTTTTCTCTTTTTTTGAGTTAGATTCATTTGGCTTGTTTTCTATGTCTAACCAGAGTGACTGTAGGTAACAACCAATGCATCCCATGTTAACCCGTCCAAGTGTCTTGTTATTTATTGTAGAAAGAGCAGAAAACAAAGTTTTATAATGCTTTTAGACTTGCTTGCTACTGGTTAGTACACAATTTTAAAATGTCCCAGACATATTCTGGTGTTTACGGTTTTCTGTGTCCCACAGTAAACCCTTACTGATAAACCACATTATATGCTCATTTTGCAGAACGGGGGACAAGGTGTGATTGAAGCAGAAGTGAAACCAACCACTTGCAATGCTTTGAAAGAAACAGTGGCCATAGACTGTTGTGGGAATGAGCTGCCATCCTGTGCTGGAAAGTTTGTGTTTCTTCTTCCAGCTAGCATTCCCACTGCTTACCACATCAGTATAAAGTTCAAATCAGTAGCTGGTGAATTGCTTCATGAAATTCAGCTATTCATTTTGACCCATCATCAAAATACAAACTTGTTTGACTACATGGATGGCCACTCCCTGTCATCAGTGGAATTGCCTGTTCCGAAAAAGCAGCTTGGTGGTATGTTTTTGAGCAAGTGCATCTGAATTATTTTTTGCTAAGGCTGATATTATTTTAAACGAATCTTCTAGTTAGTCATGTGAATGATTTTATGTGTAAATTTAATGGCTTTCTACAAGGTCATACCTGTTAAACTGTGTGTTGATTATGTTCTTAATTAACACAAAAAACGGTTGACTCATGTGAGTAGCAATAAAATATTACTTTACATACCCCTCTATGTGAAGGTGTAGTCTGATCGTCCGGGTGAGTGTAGTCCTGAGAAGGACTGTTGTCGGTGGTAGTGACTGACGTTTCGACAACCTGTGCGGAAGTCATCATCAGAGTCAAGTGAATGATTGTCAGTAGANCATGTTACCCCCGGGTTCAAACCATTTACTGCATACCCCTCTATCATCCCAAAGCCTGAGTTTTTTCAGGCTTGTTTTCTGCAGTTACTAAGATTGTAGCTCACGTGTGAGGATTATTGATTTATTGAATTTTCATCTGCAACTCAAAAAAATTAATTAATTTCAATGAAAGTTGTGAGTACCTATCCTTGAAGGGTAATATTAAGCCTGAATTGTCAGTTCCTAAGGCGCATCACATGGGTTTATTACACGTTCGTGTAGCTTGGGGGGGGGGGGGGCAGAAAAACTCAAGTACTATGTGCTCAATTACTGTGTACTCAAGTACTGTGCTTAGTGTTTTTTGTAGACTTATTTAATGTGCATTAAATCTCTTTCATTTGGCATCTGATGGTTTCCAAATCAAGTTTTAATTTTTTGTGTACTGCATATATTTTAAGGCATTCTGGGAATCCCTGAAGGTCAGAAGATTCTCTCACATTTTCAAGAATTGGTGGAAAATGGTAATTTTCAAGGGATTGCTACTTAATGATAATAATAATAACCTTTATTTTAAGAGGGTGACACCAATTACTTTGAAAGTATTCTCCCTAGTGGCCCTGTAAGACATCATTCTATAATTGATATTGTTTCCTACAGTCATTACAAGAGTTCAAAAATTGTTAACAACATTGTTAGCTGTATGCAGGAAGTTTGTCACCATAGACCTACATGTACTTAAATGGCCTATAGCCACCATGTTAGTCTCCTAGAGCTTAGTGAGTACTATTGGGAGCACTCAGAGTACTTTTTCCATGTCTGCCTGCGTCATTTACAGAGTAAAATCTTAAAAAGACGTGGGTTATTAACCGAGCATGAGGTCAAGATGGCTGGATATTGACCATTAGTTTCCTTTTTGCATGGTCCATAAAAATGTGAAAAAAGAATGAGGCTAATATTTTGACCCTGTTCATTTTTGGAACCTAAACTGTATATAGTTACTGAAATAACAATAATAATGGTTTTGGCAATGGAGTGCTTTTGGATTGCGTGTAGTAAACAGCCAGTCTTGACCTAACAACCTTGGTTAATAAAGGATTTATTACATTGCAAAATGATTTCCCTTTATTAAAGTGCACCTAAACCCAAAATTTTTTTTCACTTAATGAAATGAGTGTATTTTTTGGAGTATTTCTGTGCAAAAATTTTTTTATGTGCTCAAATCTTCAATTTTCTGCACCCAGTCAAGATACGGAAAATCGGCCGCCATCTTGCCCCACGACCGAGTTTAAAGAGGAATGGCTCTAGCGGGTAATGCGACGTCAAATCGAGAACACGAAAGTCTGCATTTCACACATTTTCACTTGTTTGGGAAGGTTGTAGTCAATATTGTCTGAAAATATGCCAACTAAGTGTGTTGTAGAAGGATGTAGCAACGTGCGAACTTTGCAAGAGTGTATCGCGCTTCGTACATTCCTCACACAACACACCTAGTCAGCATATTTCGGACAATATTGACGACAACCTTCCCAAATAAGTGAAAATGTGTGAAATGCAGACTTTCATGTTCTCGACTTGACGTCACATTACCCACTAGAGCCATTCCTCTTTAAACTCAGTCGTGGGGCAAGATGGCAGCCGATTTTCCGTATTTTGACTGGGCACAGAAAATTAAAGATTTGAGCAAATAAAAAAATTTTTGCACAGAAATACTCCAAAAAATAAGCTTATTTCGTTAAGCAAAAAAAAATTTTTGGGTTTAGGTTCACTTTAAGAATTAAGAATGACTTTTTTACTTTGAGAGCTGGGAGAGAAAGCCAACTCTGTTGGTAGCACAACAAACTCAGGAAAGTCATTTCTGTTTTCTTTGGTTTGACTATCTTCTGCCCCTTTTTGCACTTCCATCACCAACATATTGTCCAAGAGCTACAAACGTAGTTCTAATTCAATTTTTTTCATGCGTGGGATCAATGCAGATAATCTCAAGCCAATCAGAGCACAGGATTCACTTCATCTTTCCCACAGGTGCTGCGAGCGATGTAATAAATTGTTATTAACCAGGCAGGAGGTCCATATTGGGAAAAACTGTGCTTGAGGTCTTGGATGCTGCCTGAGACTGCAGGTTGAGGGTGGTACTCAAGACAAAGGCCACAGTTTTTACCAAGACAGACTGACCGTGGCTGGTGGAAAAAAAAACCCTTATAATTTAGGGCTGTAATTAGGGGAAGATCCTCCATTGACAGAACAATTTTGGGCAAACAGATGGTAGGGTAAACAGGGGAAATGCAAATTAAGAAAGCATGATACAAAAAAAGGGCAGGTGGCACTTTGAAAAAAACAACAGCACTGGCTTGACAAGTGAACTTGGTTTAAATGACCATCACAATGACTTTTTCTTCTTCATTGATATTATGGAAAGTATTATCCTCTTCCAACAACAATTAATCTACAAAGAATTACCTCTGTTCAGGTTTAAATGTCAAGGAAAGTGAAATTATTAGTAAATTTAGAAGTATGTTTCGAAATTGTAAGGGTCTGCTTGTTTGCTTGCTGCAATGGTGTTAATGTAAATCGTGCCTTTCCTCTACCAAAAAACTGAAGTTAAATGAGACACCTTTTCTAGCTCGACACAGGGGGATTTATTGCGATCTTAAGTCATCAAACTGCTTCAGTTTCTTTTGTAAAATGTTCGGTAGACATATCCAAGTTCTTGTGACTTGCAAAGAATTAGCGAAAGTTTATTTATAGTAGAACTCAAAACTTTGTTCAAAGTCTTACATCTAACAGACTGTTATGGAGGATTTGAAGATCTCAAATGAATGAATGTTACATTCATTTGATTAAATTGTTGACTGCAAACACCTCTTGTTTTAACTTTCCAAGTTACTTTTTGAGGAAGATTATTGAATAACAAATGGTTTGTAGGTCCAGTATCTTTCTTTTCAGTTAAACACATTTGGTACGACAAAATTCATTTCAAAATCAATTTTTAGGGAAAAACCATAGTGATTTTAGAGGGAGAGAATTTTAAATTATATTTATTATATATGTAGTGCCTAAAGAAATCTTTGCTTATAAATGCTGCTCAGCTGGGAAAACAAAATATATTTATGAAAATTTGCAATGAAGCTGAGGATGTACCAGGCGACACAACTCGTAATGAATAGGGAACTGCCTGCTTGAGTGGGTGGGATGGGAGAATATTGCACGCACTTGGAACCAATCAGGTTGCAAGATTTGTAGAATGCTGCCCACTCCTAGTGTTTGATGGAATAGGAATAATTTCAAAGCTTTGGATGGCATGTGTATTTTTCGAGTGAATATGCACAGTTTATATTCTCTTGGTTGTTACATATTCTGTGCAGCTGATACCCTGGCTGATTCTCACCTGAAATTACTCTACTCTGTCTGGTATTTAACAATTGGTTCATATGTCAGTGTGCATTCATCAAGATATGAAGCATGCAGGAAGTTTGGAGAGCACAAAAGATGCATAAGAGTTGCTTGAGGCGTAGGCGAGAGCAACTCTAGTGTCTTGAGTGCTCTCTAAACTTCCCAAGTGCTTCATATCTTGATGAACACACGGCTGACATATGAACCAATTGTTTTATAACATTTTCAACATTGTAGTTTATGTATAAAGGGCAGAAATTCCCTCTCCTACTCTTCAATGCATTGTTTATTTTGTTTCGGAAAAGTATTTCGCCATGCTTTAATGATCTTTTCTCAGATTGATCAAAAACTGACAGGTGAATTCATGTAAGGAAAAAATGAAGTTAGAGTTCCAAAATGAGATGAAACCATTGACTATTTTGTTTTCCCTTTCTCAGGGTTCTTTCTCGGGAGTTAAAAAATCCATTCCCAAAGAAAAAGTAGGCTGATCTTCATCAGCGTGTTTGCTTGTTGCCATGTCTAGTTTAACTTTTTTGCAGAAGTTTTTCCTGTTTTTTAATGAAAAATGCTGAAGTCACCCACAAGAAAAAAATATTTTCAAGGTATTCGTTTGCTGACATCACCAGCGTGTACAATGGAAAATTGAAGCATGCTCACGCTATTGAATTTGATTGCACAAAATTAATTTACAAGCTATGTTATAATAGTTTTTTATATCAATTATTATTTGTTTGGAATTTGCAACAATTTATGTGGATGAATCCATCATAAGTGCATGCACAAGTTAAGATGTTAAATGGTTCTTAACTTCATCAGTGTTTAAGGTGCAAAATAAACACTTAAATATATGATAGAATATAAAAAAAAATTTAAAAGACTGGAAAGGACATGAATCAAAACAAGCTACATGTACTTTGTAAAGTTTTTTGCTTTTATTTGTTGATCAATTTGAAACTTCAGCAGCTCCCCCTTTGTGGCAACCCCTTAATTTGAATTTTTGAAGATTTGTTTGTACAAATTCTTGCCTTCCAGAGCAAAAACTGGTGGTCAAATGCCCCACCCAAGTGCCAGATTTGATTATAATTTTTTTTACAAATGCAAAATCAAAGATCATGACTTACCACACGTTGACCAAGCTTTAAGGCCTAGACCTTGTAGAACTTTTCTTCTTAGCCATTTGCTCACATGAAAGAACTATTTACCTTTAAACACCTCCATTATTTAAGATATAAAGCTTTTCTTCCTATGGAAAGCCTTGACCCTTCTGGTTCAAATTCTCTACCCCAGTGAGACAAGGTTCAAATTCCCCAATCCCCACACACAGACAGTGCCTGTGGGTTGCCAAGGGGGAGATGTTGAAGCTTCAAATTGTTCTGCGCATAATCAACTGAGTTGATAATGTAAATTGGTTACCATAAAGAGCTGATATTTTTTAACATCAGACCTTCATCATTTGCTCTTATGATGCTTGACCCAGATATTATCAGATATCTCTTCCCTCTAATTTTAGGTGGGGAACTATTTTTAGTTGTTGTTTGATTACCAAATTATGTGGATATTAAACTAGATGTAAGACTCTGTGAAATGTGCATGCCACTCAGTTAAAAGATAAAGAGGTAATTAGGAATGTCCTAACTTATCCTTATAAGTTGGAAAAAATTGAATATTTCATATTTCTGTTTCTTTTAGTTGCAATTGAATGCTTCAGACGAGATCAGCGCTGTCTCATTGAACACATACAAGCATCCAATCAAGTGGAAGCAAAATTTCAGGATTTGCTCCTTGCTGTGCAGTTAGAGGTATTAAACAGTAACATAGTAAATTTAGTTGGCTATAATCATCTCATATCCAACAAGCGCAAGTGGAATAATTGTTTTATTAAAAACGCCCTCAAGAAATTATTATTTTGTAAGAAGAAACTGGATTTTTAGCTCCCTTTTGATTTTAAGCTGACGCGTACGCTTACCATATTTGTAGATTATGGTATATTGGCTCATATACCATAATGGCTAAGCCAATAAAAAGTCTTGAATTGCATTATCCAATGATTCAGTTTTTTATAAATACAAGTAATATTTGGGTCACTGTGGTTTCGGGTGATGGAGGAAACACAATGATTTGGCCATACATGTTTTTTACATGTACTTGGCTAGGTAAGGGTCTTCTGGTTAAATGACAGTTCACATAGAGTATATGAAGTGCAGGTCTGTGCAGACTTATTTTCTTTTTGAAAAATAGATTTTAAAATGTGATGTGGTTGAATTTCATTTCTTTTTCAGGAATGTCTCATGCTCTATCAGATAGGGGATCTTGAGAGATGTAAACGTATAGGTGAAGATGTGTGCATTCAGGCAAACAGGAATCATTCAACAAACTATAACGCCCTTGCCGGAAGAGCAAAGAGTGTTGTCTCTGGAGCCTACAAGATGGAAAAAGACTTTGTGAAGGCTGAAGAACTATTGTATTCTTCTATTGAGGTTTGCTGTGACTGCACTGTTCCATGCTCTGTTCCATGCTCTGTTCCATGCTCTGTTTCATGCTCTGTTTCATGCTCTGTTTCATGCTCTGTTCCATGCTCTGTTCCATGCTCTGTTCCATGCTCTGTTCCATGCTCTGTTTTATGCTCTGTTTCGTGCTCTGTTTCATGGCATGTTTCTCAGTGAGACACGGAGATGCAGGAGATACAGGACTTTACATTGTTATAAAGTTAGTAGTATGCATATTCTCCATATTGTTCTCTTTACATGTCGTAAGGTGCTGACAAGATGAATTTGTATAACAATCAAGAGCTTCTGTAGTTGTTGATAATTTTCTTTATTCTTGGGACCTTAATATTTGATTCAGGGATGATATTGTCAAGAGGATTAACTCTAAGGGGTCAAAACTTAGGGTCAATGCAGTTGCTTCCTGATGAATCAAAAGGGCCCATTTTGAACCCCACTAAGGCTTCTCTTTGTAACATTCATTTTATCGTGATCCAGAGTTCTGTGGCTACCATTTGTTAAAGAAAGCCAGAGAGATGGGGGGTAGCTGAAGCATTCCAAACATTTTTTGTTTTCTTTCAGCTCTTACGGGAAGTTGTTTCCAGTGTAGACAATTCAATCAACTGCACCGGGTTTTTTGCTCTTTTGTCCGAGAAGGCAGCTGCTGTAGGAATCAACAAACCAGAAAAAAAGAAGTTGAAGAAAGCCTTGAAGGTTGTACTGCGCAACAGACATCAATTTGAGAGGAATCAAAGCAGGATTGCTAGGAGTCCTAGAAGAGTTCTTATCAGGGCAGTACTCTTCTACCTTCGTTCAACAAAAGATAAGGCCACCGACCTGCAAACACATGTGTCCCATAAGCATTTAACACGAGCCGAGGAGTTTGGTGAACAGTTCAAGAGGGAGTTTCTTCCCAATTGTCCTATGAGAGACAGGGCAGGGTTTTTTAATGCTTATGGTGATCTGCTAACAAGGAAAGGGAAATATGAAGAAGGTTTGTGTAAAGTTGTAGGTTTTGTATTTTTTTAGATACAATTAATTCAATGGTAATTATGAAAACTAATTATGAAAGACACCATTTCTGTATATACATTGGTTACAGAAGATTACAAATATTAATTTTTGAGGGTGCATCATAATATTATTTCAAAATCTAAAGCGATTAAAAAAGGCCCAAACTTAAAGTGACGTAATAGAATGTTGTATTTAGTTGTCAAGCGTCATCCTTGTTTATTTCCTCTTATGCACATAAAAATACATTGTACAAGCAAGCTATAACTGAACCAAGAATGAAATTAAACCTTAACATATCCATGTCTGTAATTGTAATATCTGCTGCGTACATGATGTGATAAGCCCACATCTTCCATTTGTTTTCTTTTCCATCTTTCTCTGACGAGTCTGTGGACATAAAAATGACGTGAGGTCGCTAGCCAAATGCCACAGGTTCTCTCTTTTTTCTCTACACAAGATCGTAATTCAAGCCGAAGCGGCTGTGCTCAAAGAGTTAAGTAGTATAGTGTAAAGGGGCACTGTGGTACACAGCCAATCAGAGAGGAGGATAATGCACCACATGATGCAAATGAAACAGTCATATGGTTCATTTGTACCAAGTGATACAAAATTATCTCCTCTGATTGGTTTTGTACAAGAGTGCCCCTGTATACTGCTGAGTAAGAGGATAATAAGAATAGGAGAATGTAATGAGTACTGATAGTTTATTTCTGCGATATCTATCAGTCTGTGTTCTTGTTTCCGTCCATAGCCACCCGTTTAGTGTCTATGGCGTTGAAAATGGCAGAAGATCTTCAATTGAAGATAGATATAAAGGGAGCACGTGCCCGACTTCAACAACTCAATCGGCTGCTTATGGAGCGAGCGGAGACTGAGAGGAGGCATCGTGACTCGGCTGAGAGGAGAACGGAGGAGTATCACGGCTTCCAAGAGCCAGGGTGTGAAGTCCTTCAAGCACTTCTTATGCAACTGGAGAGGGCTATGAATTGAGACCCTAACAGAAACGGGAAGCTGTGACACTCCGAGGAAGGAGAATCACCATCCTCTTATTCAAGTAAACTACCATGAACTGTTATCCACTGTCTGAAGCGGGCTCGTGTCAGTTTTTACAGTTGGGTGTCCTTTTGTTGCAGCAACTTAATTTTATAACTTATATTAAGTTGAATTCAACGTATAACCGTACTGACTAAAAAATAGAGGAGGAGTTTGCCAGTTGTATTTTTCTCTGTAGCTCTAGAGGATAGGCATATAGAGCTGTAAGTTGTCAATGAAAACTGTTTTTTTTTTCTTTGTGATAAAAAAGATAGCTTGAGGGAGAGAAAAGTAATTTGCTCCTACCTGAACAGCTCGGGACGGATTTCGGCTTGTGAGCTGCCTCATGGTTGAAATTCTGTTATTCTCGGATAAAGAAGTTCAAGATAAACAGTAACCAGTATATTCAAGGTGATAGTCATTAGGAACGTTGCTAAGGACTGGTCTTGTTTCGCCTTTTCGTGGCTTACATACAGGTTGACCTCATCGCACCCTCCCCTTTTCTGAGAAAAATGTTACCGGTAAGTTACAATAGTAACAGGTAGTATACATATGCATTTAATGAGAGGCAGTAACATATTTTTACCTTACTGTTAGACTTGACTGTTATTTAAGTTGGTTGCCTCTTTTTCCTGACAATGTCAGTAGAGAATCAGTTTTAAAAGTGTTTCAGAGAGAATTAAGAAGAGGCGAATACTTCTGTTATAAGTGTATGTATGAAAAGGTACACAAATATCTGTAGGACATAAGCTTGTTGTTAGGTGTAAGGTAATAAGATATTCATTGTATTTTAAAATGTGTCCTGTTTCTTACAATAAAATACGAGATATGGTGGATGTTTACCATGTTCACCATGTTTAACGAAAAGCACAATCCTAGTTATTGGTCGTTTAGTTTTCTACCCCTTAGAAAATTTAATTTATTAGATTCGCCGACAGGCAGGGACGCCGCAACAGCATGCGCCAATTATTGCGGGCCCAGTAAACCCACCCATCCCACCCCAGGGGAGGACATCCACCACACAGTAATCTCGTGCGTGGGAAATTAAGTCTCCTACCCATAACTCTGCAGGAGACAAGGCCTACGGCTTATTCGTCCTTATCCGAGAAGACTAGTATATCTATCCATTTCTTGATATTATAGAAAGGTAGCAATTTCTCCTCAGTTATTTTAAGACCCTACGTGTTGGTCCGGCCGGGTCTTGAACCCTCGACCTCCCGCACAACAGTCCGGCGCTCTACCAATTGAGCTAACCAGGAGGCGGTAGAAAATCGTTTCGTCTGTAGCGACTTAAGGAAGCGGTCGGCAGTTTTTTAAATTAACTTTTGATTTTTTAACTACTGTTTCCTGCCGGAACCAATGCATTGTTCCCAGCAAGGTCGTAACGGTCAGAGGACAGAAAGACGAAAACAAACGCATGAATGTCTTGTGAATGCAAGCTGCTGGGTCGAGAAGAGACACCCGGCTTTGTTGGTCTCCTTTTCTTTTCGAACCATATATTCGGTCTGCAAAGTTCGTCCGAGCTCGAGAGGGAAGCAGCCTTCTAGCAGCCTCGATGAATGGATGTGGCCAGTTGTCCGACCTGAAATGGGGCTAACGCAGTAAAATAGCCAATTAAGTGACATAAAGACGATGCAGACTGTTAACTCGAGACATGGTTAGTTACGAATGTTTTATTTATTCAGGATTGACTCTATACTAAGCCGTCTACATTTGATTCTCGTGTTAGTTGATGGTCTAACACCAAAAACAAGAAATCAACCAAACAGACGGGTCACGTTGAAAACTTAGTTACTTTCTAACTGGAGGTGGATGCATCATTCAGACAAGTAAAAAACACTCTTCTGGGTTGAATTGAACTGAATTGTCAAAAGGCAGTTGCAGAAATATCCTATCGATCTAATTAGCTTTTGATTTTTTCTTAATCAGCATCCCACGCACGGGCTCATCCTCTGGCTCCTGAGAGTGTTTGGCACCTCACGTCTTCCTCCAATATTACCGCTGGTCATGAGAATTAAGGAAATGATCATCAACTAAACAGGCTTATGATGGTAAAACGAATTCTCCTTGTCAGCACCTTGAAAAATGTATGGAGAACTTAACAGTATGAAGAATATGCACACTGTTATATTATGGTGTAAAGGCTCAAAGCCACTAGATATCCTACCAAACTCCAAATGTCTATGGCTGTGTCTACCATAACTGGCAACACATTTCTTCACACTTATTAATTGAGTTCAATCTACAACCTCTACAAAATAAACCATTAAAAAGATGAAGAGAAAAAAAATTAAAATATGCTACATTATCAACAAACGCTTCTAACTGGCTAGATTTAAGGCCAATGATAAGTGGTATTTTCATGTACACTCTTTCGCATGCATTTCGATTGTTGTTTTTTTGCCCTCAAGGTTAAGGCCCTACTAAGGGTAATCCGGCGACACAGGATGTTTTGCTAAAAAATTAGAGGGGTACTGGATACTTGAACAAATTAATGGATAAAGTATAGTTAAAACTGATAGAGATTCCGGGATACTGAACTGGAGTAACAGGGATACAAACCACAGGAATCGATGGGATACGTGATAGTTAGGCCAAATCTTATAGGTTACAAGATACTCAGACCTCCCTCGCCAAAAAAAATGCTAAGCGAACTATTCAGTGCAATCAAATGCAAGCTCTAATAATCATTATAATTTGAATGTATCAACAAAGTTGAAATGGTAAATTGGCCACCGTTACGGTTATAAGAGCTGACGTTTCGAGCGTTAGCCCTTCGTCGGAGCGAATAGAGGAATCGTGGGTTGTGTGTGCTTTTAAAGGCAGAAAATGGAGCTACGTGATTGGTGGGAACATGGCAACGAGAAAAATAATAATCATTACCTTGTTCGAAATATGTTATGGTTACATTAGGGTTATATTAAGGTTACAGTGGTTTCACGAGAATCATTTCACTCACATAAATGAAATTTCTTTGCTAGAAGAGAAACTTAAAACTTTCGTTACGGTTTAAAGTTATACGTTGAACCAGCGTTAGGACCCTCGACAGGATTCCCGTTCTCGTTAATGGGCATGCTCAGTAACTCAGTGACTCGTGCTCAGTAACTCAGTGACTCGTGCTCAGTAACTCCTCTAGGCCGTTTTTGATATTGAACATAGTGCCGATGGCGGTTCCCAGTGATTCCGGAGAATCTTTGAAAACTGTGCAACTCCGTTAATGTTTTTAAACAACGTTTAAGGACCAAATTACTCAAAGAGTTGTAATTTTATTTGTATATTTGTATACAAATAAAATGGGGAAAGTCAATAAAGTATGTATGTATGTATGTATGTATGTATGTATGTATGTATGTATGTATGTAATTCTCCCAGAAGCTTGGTATATTCTTTGTCGAAGTCTTCTGCTTTTGTGTACGATATTGAACCAGGCTTGTAATCTTGCATCTTGGGATTGTCTATCATCGATCATCGGCCAAACATCATTTGGATCAAAGTCGATCTTAGAACTAGTGAAGTGGAAGCGAACATAACATGGCTATTGAACAGGAGAAAATGCAACACGCCCATAAGTATTTGTTGGACGACTGGTCCATCAAAAAAATTTACGGGATCAACAAAATTTAAACAATGCTTAGGGATTCAGAATTGTAGCGATTTTGAATTCCGGTGGTCCTTGTGCCGAGTTTCAGCCAAATAGGTTGACCACCACTTTCGGCTCCTGGAACACTTTCTCAGACAGGGACACTTAAGCGTCTTCACTCATGGTTACATCTTTAGTCTTTGAAAGAACTTCAATTAGGTTACACATATGTGCTAACTGCGACGAGTATTTTAATTAAAATCGAGACTCCTTCGAAGAAAGGTCGAGTTAAATTTAAACGTCCCACCATTACTTCGGAAATGTGCTAGAGGCGTTCCCGTATAATTTCGGAAGGTTGCTATCAATTGGTCTGCCGTTGACATATCGATTTGTTTTCATCTGAGTGAGTGACATATTTGCATATTCTGCCCATTCTAATAGTCGTTTGTACGCTTCGTGTACCCGCGACTAAAAAGTGCCTTTCAGAACACGGAGAAAAGTTTTCTCCAATGGCCCATTTTCCAAGTAGTCATGTGTTAGAGATATGGTGCCGAAAGGTCAAGTGTAAAGTCCTTCTAAGTGGCACGAAAAATAAAAGCTCTTAAGGGGAAATGTTCGGGTCTTTGTGAGCAATATTTCGTGTTGTTTACAAAATGGTTTATTGTTCAGTTGCTCACGGTACCAGAGGGAAAGATATTTCCGTAAATCCTCTATCAAGCTCCCCGGGGGCTTATTTCTTTCAAGCATTTTTGAGGGGGGGGGAGGCTTAATAGGTATGGGGGGCTTATTTAATTTAGCGAAACGATACAAGGGAAGAAGCAAAGCTTTATGGTGAATTTTCAGTTGGCATTTACCGCCTTACTACCAGCAGCTCTCAAGATCACTAACTAGTTGGACATTTGTCTGTAGAATTATCATTTCTGCTGTGTACATTTTTTATCTCGTGAAGGTTGCAGCTTAGAATTTTCACCGACAGGAGCAAGGTTTCTCGAGGACGGACTTGTGGTTCCCGGGCGGTACACTGCTTTGTCCAACGATAAGAAAATGGTGGCAATTCTACACAGAGAACTAGAGCGCAAAGTTGCGAAAGTTAAGTATATGAAGTTGGAGGTCATGCGGCCAAAGACCAAAAACAATATGAACTTCCAGCCTGAATAAATCATAACTGATCAGTCC